GCTCGCATGGTGGAAGAGAGCGGTGGGTGGGGGGTTGTTAACTGGGGGGAGTGAAAAAAAACTGTTCACAGCGCCCAAACACTACTCTAACCCCACGCTACCGCACCCCCAGCTCCGCCCTGGAGCCAGACTCAAGCAACTGGGCCCAATTCTGCACGGTGCACGGATGAGGAAGAGATTATCAAGGACACAGACCACACGGCGTGCAGAGGCGACGGGGAAAATTAAACCTTAAGTGCATTAAAGCCATTGCACCCTCTCCCCGGATTGCACCGTTCTTCCTCTCCAGAGGCTGCGGCGATGGGATTAGTGGTCGTGGGGCGAAGGTGCAACCCAGGCGAGATGGAGGGAACAGAGGTTCGGACCGAGACTGCGAAGAGGACGACATATCCAGCAGCGACGTGATGGGTTGCACAGGATGCTGCTTTGGGATCCGAGTGTTTTCACCTGCAATTTTTTCCCCCCTTGCCCGTACAAAGGCGAAGCCAGGACATGGGCAGAGCAGCAGCATCCAAACTGCTGCTCCAGCAAGGTCGTCTCTCCGTTATTTTTTTGCAGGCTTCCTGCCCACAGACACCTGGATCTGGAAGTCCAGCCGGGTGCCCTCTTGTGCCCAGTAACCTTTCCCACCCAGGCTGGACTGGATGCAACTAGGCTGCACCTGATCTGCAGCCCGGGCATCTTTCCAAACGATGCCAAGGGACCCACTCTGCTGTCCCAGCGCCAACGTGCAGCAAGGCAGAGGTCTGTACAAGTTGCATAAGAGTTTCACGCAGGTGTTGGAAGCACCGACCCCATTTGTTGCTCCTTCACTGCACATCAGAGAGATAAAGACTAATGTAAAGGTCACGCCGAGCAAACAGCCAAGCCTTCTACATTAAACGTGGCAATGCTCACCTGGGAATCAGAAACCGCTCCAGTGTCAGGCCCTGTAGGGGCTCGGGGACATGTTAAGCAGCTGGTGCTGGCCCTTGTCTTGAAGTGTTCAGAGCCCATATAATCTAATGGTGCAAGTGAAGACATGCATTCAAACCTGCATCACTCCACACAGTTCGGTGAGGCTTTATGCCAGGAAAAGCCACGAGAAAGAGAGCGAGCCCTGAGCTCGCTGCCAGGGGTGTCCACAGTCCACCCAGCCAGGGCTACAACGCTCTGCCTGGATTTCCAGCCTCTGCATTTGCTTGCCATTAACAGCCCCTTGCCTCACAGCAAGAGTCCTAGTGTGCATAGCATCCTGCCACCTCTCCCCTTTCTGTCCGCACGGCTTTTCCCATCGTGGCTAAAACAAACTCAAGTTTTCTTTGTGCCTCAGCTGAGCCAACTAGGGGGTATCCAGATATACATCTATAGATGGATTGATAGAGATCTCTATCTATATAGTCTCACTTACCTATATATCTACATAGATATATCTGTATAGATATACACAACTATAATCTGTATATCTGTGCATCCATACAGATATATCTGCATCTATCTATAGATATATGTGTGCATCCATACAGATATATCTGCATCTATCTATATATATGTGTGCATCTATACAGATACATCTGGATCTATAAACGCAGATATATCTGTGCATCTATACAGATATATCTGCATCTATCTGTAGATGTGTGTGCATCTGTGCATCTATACAGATATATCTGCATCCATAAATGCAGATATATCTGTGCATCTATACAGATATATCTGCATCTATCTATCTATCTATCTATCTGTGTGTGTGTGCAGATGCACACACACACAGAAAAATAGATAGATAGATAGATGCAGATACATCTGCATAGATACAGATATAGATATAGATAGATACAGATATATCTGCATCTATCTATATATATGTGTGCATCTGTGAATCTATACAGATACATCTGGATCTATAAATGCAGATATATCTGTGCACCTATACAGATATCTGCATCTATATATACAGATATAGCTGCATCCCTGTATCTATACTGCTATATCTATGTATATCTGTATAGATATACACAGATGTATCTATAGATAAGTGAAAATATAGCTATAGACAGAGATCTCTAGCTATACATCTATAGACAGAGATGTGGTGTGTGTGTGTGAACTGCATCCCACCACTGCTGGCTTCACTAAGACCACTGGCAATACGGGCCCATTTACTGCCATCCTAGAGGGACTGTATTTATGTTTTAAGTGACAAACCCCAGCAAAAGCTTGGAGTACCATCCACTCAGCAGAATAGGCGTGCAGGGAATGAGGAAGATCTATAGATAGAAATCTCTATTTCTAGATCTATAGCTATGTAAGGGAGAGATAGAAACACCCACTGAGCATCACACCTTGCCTTTGGGATGAGTTTTTTTAGAAGAAACCGATACCTAGATAAAGCATACCAGGCTGACTGGACCGTCACTGGCAGGATTTATTGTACAATCAGAAACCCACCATATCCCCCCTTCCTATTCAGATGTCCTCGACCAGGCAGCCTGAGCTTTCTCCGCTCCAGCGGCCGTCCGAGGGAGGCCGGGGGCCGCGAGCCCACCAGGTCTGCGCCTGTCCGAGTCCACTGCCCCAGTCCCACGCTCCTTCCCGAGGCAGGAGCTGCCAACGTCCTTGGTCTGAAGAGAGCAAACAGGGGTTTATCTCTCCTCAGCAAACAAGCCTGCCATTAAGGGACAGAACTTGGACAATATTTAATGACTCCGATGCAATATTGAATTACTCCGATCGTGGGAAGGGGATGGCCGGGAGCAAGAGGAGGAGCGGGAAGGTGGGAACTGCAGGGGAAATTCCAGAACCGGAGATGAAACGGAGCTGCAAAGCAGCTCTGACAGGTTAACAGGCAGGTAATACCCCGGCCGTGTTTGCTTAACCAGGCTAGCTCCCCGGGCAGCCCCGCGAAGGCCGAGCGGCACATCCTAAACCGCCGAGGAGAGGGTTCAGCACAATAACCGGTCAAGCAGGAAGCTGGGGACGTGGCTCGCTGGGCCGGGAGCCTCTGCTGTGTCTTGGGCCCCGACTCGTCCCCGTGCGGGGAGATGCACAAGCACTCGTGGATGACCAGATTCGACTCATCTGCCTGTGCAGGCTTGTCATAAACCCACCTTCCTTGGGGGGCTCGCACCCTCTGATCGGGGTGGCTTTTCTTGCCACCTCTGGGAAGGCAAAGCCAGCCACCCTTGCAGAAAAGTAACATCAAACCCCGAAAGGTGTCCCCGGCATTCATACCCCCAAGGGCCTCTACCAAGCCACCGATGCAAAGAGGTCGCCCTCTTCCAAGCATGGCCCAGGGGTTCGAGCACAAATGGAGATCCCTGTAGTCCAGTCCTGTCATGGATGTTAGGGTCGGAAGGGACCTCAATAGATCGAGTCCGACCCCCTGCATAGGCAGGAAAGAGGGCTGGGGCTAGATGACCCCAGCTAGATGCCTATCTAACCTCCTCTTGAAGACCCCCAGGGTAGGGGAGAGCACCACCCCCCTTGGGAGCCCGTTCCAGACCTTGGCCACTCGAACTGTGAAGAAGTTCTTCCTACTGTCCAGTCTAAATCTGCTCTCTGCTAGCTCGTGGTCATTATTTCTTGTAACCCCCGGGGGCGCCTTGGTGAACAAATACTCACCAATTCCCTTCTGTGCCCCCGTGATGAACTTATAGGCAGCCACAAGGTCGCCTCTCAACCTTCTCTTGCGGAGACTGAAGAGGTCCAGGTGCCCCAGTCTCTCCTTGTAGGGCTTGGCCTGCAATCCCTTAACCATACGAGTGGCCCTTCTCTGGACCCTCTCCAGGTTATCCACATCCCTCTTGAAGTGCGGCGCCCAGAATTGCACGCAGTACTCCAACTGCGGTCTGACCAGCGCCCGATAGAGGGGAAGTATCACCTCCTTGGACCTACACCTCCTGTCCCGACACCCCTTCCCTGCAAGCCTCCGAATGATGCATACCGCCAGTCCCTTGGGCACAGACCTTTGCCCTCCCGCGCTTGCAAAGCACCAAGCCGTGCCTAGCACTCGACCGGGGCTACGGGGAGGCTGCTCATGACAATGTTTGGTAATCCTCATGCCACCGGCATAGGGTACGATGGAGACAAAGCCATGATTCCCATTCGGGGTTAAACAAACCACGGAGAGAGGGAGTCTCACCCAGCACAAGGGTGTTAGGGAGTGTTAAGCAGCCTGCCAGGCTCTATAACCTTCGGCAAACAACAGATTAACCATTAGTCAGGTGTTAACCCTTCAAGAAAGTGCACTCCTCCCTACCGATCAGGACCGGCAGCCCCAGACCCTCTAAAAGCTAATGGTGGTTTGCTTCCTTGAGACAATCACGGACCAGCAATTGGCACTGCCACCCCGCACCCTCCGGGATCCCCAGGCCCGATTTCCAAGCCTTGTGCTGAGGTCACACTGTGTAATATTTTTAATGATTTAAAAAAGTAGTTTATTAGAAAAAGAGAGTGACACCAGTTTGGGGAGCTCATCAGAAAGCAGCCGTCTGGGGCAGGACGACACGCACGGCTAGGCAATGCAGTCACCGCCAGCCCACGGCTCCTAACGAAGGAGCATGCAGACTATTAAATGAACCTCTCTCGTCACCAGCTTTGATACAGCTCCTGACCTGCAACCGCTTCCCCACGGGTGTTTTTTTCCCCTGTGGATTAGGACTTCACATTATTCAGAGCTCTACGGTAGAGGGAACAGCCCGCAGTCATTGCTATTCTGGATTAAAAAAAGGAGTTTCTGCATCTCACATGAGCAGCAAAAAGGCTGAATAAGTCAGGCTTTATCCTGCAGCCTTTGCACGCTCGGACCCTGCAGCCTCCTGGAACTGGCACAGACCTCCAGGGACACACTGCAGGTGACAGAGAGGCCAGACCAGTTCTGCAGGCACCTGGAGCAGGAGATGTCTGCATCAAGGTGTGCTCTGCCTCTGTTGACATCACAACCGCTTGAATCGGAGCCGCGCTCCCACCGCCGGGCACGGGGAAAATACCACAAACAACAAACACCAGGCAGCTCTCACCTGGCGAGCGAGACTTGACCCTTGGACCGGGACTGTCTTAGCAGGAGCTGGCTGCCCTGCCGGCCTGGGCTAAGGCGGGGCGACGTGGTTCTCCGAAGGGTGGGAAGTTTGCTTGCCAAGGGCTGCGTGCATAATGCTTTCCTTTTATTTATTTTTTAATGCCCTGATCACTGTTTTCCTCTGGTTTGGGGTTCCTCTCCTTTAAAAGAAGGGATGGGAGGGAAGCAGGGAAGGAAAAATGGGGAGGGGAGGGAAAGAAAAAAAAAAAAAAAAATGATTTCATTTGAAGATTTCCTTTGGTTTTAAATAAAATGTTTCCTGATATTTACTTAGGTTATGGAAATGAATGCTTTCCCCTTGCGCACGTGTGCGCACACACTTCATTTTCCAGCCAGCCAAGCTGAGAAGAATCGCCCAGATGATCCCCCCTTGCTGCTCTCCAACAGGGAATGATCCACTGAACAGCAGGTTGATCAAAAAGGTTTGAGAGACTCACTTCCCATTGTCTTTGGGTTCGTGCCAGGGATCCCCCCTTTCCAAAGGGGTGACCGGGGTGCACTTCAGGGCCCGAGATGTGACCCTGCCACCATCCAGCACCATGAGACAGCATCTCCATAAGCATCTCAGTAGTCTCTTGATACTCTCAATACCCCAGCTACAAAACTTACTTGCATTAAAAAACAAAGGTAAAGTTGACTTTGGCAAATTATGTGCAACAAGGCTCGAGGTGACCCTATGGTATGACGCAGGGTACGGAAATCAGACTCTGCAGCTGCAAAAAATAATTAACCTGTACACACACACACACACACACACACACACACACACACGCGCGCGCGCGCACGCGCTTACTTTAGGGTAAAGTACATCAGCACTGAAAAGGAAACGTCACAAGAAAAATAAATCCATCTTTCTATGAGAAAAAGAACAACACTTTCATGAAAACCATGAACCAGGAACATAAGAGCTACAGATGCTAAGTACATGAGACAGTGATTCTCAACCAGGTGCCACAAGATCCTTTGAAGGATGCTGCAGGAAGGGCGAGGACATAAGAAGATCAAGGCAGGCTCAGGCTCCCCAGCCCCATTACCTGAGCCCTCTAACAAATAAATTAGTTTTCGAAATGCAGAACCCCTCAATGTACAAAGCGATGGAGGGATGCTGTGTCTAAAAAGGCCGAGACGCACTGAGAAAGCCTTTACCGAGAAGGACGGGCATCGCTCACCGAGGCTATAAGCAATGCAAAGGTGGCCGCGCTTGCTCCTTTTTGCAGCACAACTCCTGCATAGTTGGCTTTGAAAAGACATGTTTTACTAGGGACGGAAGGGAACCGACTCTTAACTCAGCCATAAATTTGCCATCAAAGGTTTGTTGGATTCCCTGCCCCTGCCCTCGCTCAGGGAGCAAAGGATTTATGGCTTGTCAGGTAAGCAGCTTTGCAAGCAGGAGGGGGTGGGAAAAAACCCTCAGGATGGAAAGACTTGCCAGGTAAAAGTCTAGGAGAAAGTAAGCCGTGCTCTGGAAAAGGCACCTTAATATTTCAATGCCAACGTGCAGGGATGCCCGATAAAGCAGCCCAGCCGTGCCAGAACAGTCTCCATGCATCGCTGCTCGCAGGCAGCATCTCTTCTCTTGTGGGTCCCAGTGAAACACCCTTCCCTCCCCATCACCTGCTGAGACCAGCCACTTTCTCTGGCTTTTCTGGTGCCTCGATCTAGGTAAAAACCTACCTCACTAGTGAGTTTGGGCTAAGGAGGGGTGGGCTGCAGCTCCAAGACCTGAACACACCCACGGCCAGAGACTGAGGGGGTCATCTTGGGGCAAAACCTTGGGAATCCAGTGCTCCAGTTGGGACAAGTCTTCATTGCTTTGTGTCTTATCGGTATCCTTCATCTCTTAAAAAGCAGGAGACTACTTCTTCCCTGTGAGGAATACAGTTAAAGGGATGCATTAATTTGCAGAGCACCTCCTCCTCCCAGCTTAATCTCTAGGACATGAGCAATTGTATTTCCTTCCTGCATTACAGACACCAAAATGGGTCAGTGAAAGCACAAGTCATCCCTGCACTTAGAAGAGCCGGGGCACACTAATGCGCTTGAAGCACACACCCCGTCGGCCCAGGGGCAATCTGGATCCGGAGAGATGTGCAGCCCTGTTCAAGGCAAAAGGGAGAAATGCAGCTTCCTAGACTAGCTCCTGGAGAGGGTAAGGTTGAAGGCAGCTGGCACAGACTGAACCAACCCGACGATGGAGAGAGAGCGCGACAGGGCTGATGGCTGGGATGGGGGACTAGCCGGCGCCTGCCGGTCCTGGAAAGGTCTGGGAGTTTGAGCAGCTTTCTGGGCTTCATTTGCAATGGGAAATAGGAGAAGCAAACTCCAGATGCCACTTCGAGGTGCTCACAGGTGGTGTCTTGCTTCTGTTTCCAGCTGCCCGTGGAAATACACGTGGCCCTGGCTGAAATGGATCTCGCCGAGCTGCAGAAAGGGCAGGATCCCCGCTCACATGCAAAGCAGATAACTGGGACAACACCACATCATTTCCCAGTCAAATGCACCTACCCGGCATAGTCCCTTCCCCTAGCACTCTGCTCACCATACCAAAGGGGATCGGTGTTATATGGCCCCCTGGTCTCTGCCACTGACTGCTTGGTCATGTCACCTTGGTCATGTCACCTTGGTCATGTCACCTCACCCATCTCTGCCTGGATTTCTTCATAATGATGACTAATATGCGCGGTTCATTCTTAAGACATTGGAGCTGAGTCAGAGAGTAGGAGCTCCTTGTTTCCAGAACCAGGGAGTACATTGCAAACACTGCCCAAACTGGTTCCTGGGAAGGGATTTCAAAGCTGGCCTGCGGAGGGACAGGGATGACTCAGGGAGTCAGCAACGGGGCACAGAAGGTCCCACCCCGAGCTTATCAGTTAGTCTAGGCCCCAAGCCCAGTGACAACTCCTCGCCCAGCCGCCTGCTGCCTTTGGGAGGTGGATCCACACGTGGAAGTTTGCACTTCCATGCACACACAATACAAGGTGTGCAAAGGTGGCGGGGCACAGGACAGCAACCCCTGCTCACAGGCCTCACGCCGGGCACAGACTACAAACTGGTTCACCGTATCCGAAGTACTGGAGCATCGCAAGTGCATGGAGTTGTCCTCGCCCTTTAAATCCCTCTCCTCTTGCACCCTTCCCCTCCCCGCCTGCCTACGCCTGCTCGCTCGCTGATATTTATTATCACCGGCCATTTCATAATCTCGGGCACGGGATGCAAGAACACAACTCACAACAAAGTTGCACATAGAAATCCCGGTCGCAAAGGGGATGTGGGAAAGGCTGGCGCTCCTTCCCCGTCCGCTCGGCGAGCTGCCCACGCAGACCCAGACTCGGGTCAGTAATGCTGAGGCTGCATTTCTCCCCCTGCCATCCTCCCTCAGCTTGGACACTGTTCCCTGACGGGGCTGGGGGAGGGAAATGCTCTGCAGAGTGGAAACTCTCGGAAGGGAAGTCACAATCCTCCAACCGTTCAAAAAGACGACTCATTTCTCCTCAAGGCAACACTACTGAAAGCTAGAGAGAGACTGCAAAGATACACGGCTGTGTGGATGGGGCTGGACTGGCGCTAAGGGCTTTGGGTTCAAATCCTGGCTGAGCCACAAATGCTCTGTTTGGCTCTGGCAATCAGGACTCGTGGTAGAGGTGATATCTTGTATTAAACCAACCCATTTTTTGCAACAACAAAAAGAAATTCTTTAATTGCAAGCTCTTTTTTTTGTTTTTTTTTTGCAAAAAACTTGCTGGTCTAATAAAAGAAATCACCTCTATCACGAGTCCTGATTGCTTTTGCCACTAAACCAATACCCGTTTGGCTCTAGGCAGTCCTGTCCCCTGGCCCTCCCCCGTGCCTCAGTTGTCCAGCTGTAAAATGGCAATAACGCCCCTTCCTCGGCCAACTCAGGCACAGTCTGTTCTCGTGCAAAGTCCTGCCATTGGGGCCTCTGGGCGTGATGATGCGACAGAAGCAGCAACTTGTGCAGTGCATGCAAGTGCTTCAGGTCGACCGCGGTTGGAAGAGAAACGTGGAGCACGCGGTGTGAATCTCCCTTCCAGCAACAGCCCCCAGGGAACAATGCCAGAAGCTGTGCCCGTGCTCACCCTGCCGCATAGGCGAGAACGTGCCAGTTCGACATGGGCCGAGCTAGCCTGGATCAGGCAGGGAAGTGCCACGGAGGACCACCTTGCACCGCCGAGCTGGGAGCAGGCATTGCTCCACTCCTGCGGTGCAGGGAGACCTGCTTCCAACTGAGGTGGGGGCAGATTTTCATGTGCGGAGAAAAGGGGAAACAAAATCCTCCAAAAGTACAGTCTGGAAGTGCATTGTGGTGTTTGCTCCATCCATTTGCTGTGGCAAGGCTCAGCCCTGGTCTAGGATACGGGTTTGCAGTGCGCTGATGGCTGAACAACGCCTATGGAAGGTGTGAGATAGGAGTAAAAAAAGTGTCTATACAGATCGATATAGATATCTGCTGCTTCTATTTCCAGCTGCCCGTGGAAACACACGTGGCCCCGGCTGAAATGGATCTCGCCGCGCTGCAGAAAGGGCAGGATCCCCGCTCACATGCAAAGCAGATAACTGGGACAATGTCACATCATGTCCCAGTCAAATGCACCTACCTGGCATATTCCCTTCCCCTAGCACTCCATTCACCATAGCAAAGCGGATCAGTGCTATATGGTCCTTCGGTCTCTGCCACCGACTGCTTGCATAGCCTTGGTCATGTCACCTCACCCATCTCTGCCTCGATTAGTCATCATTAAGACATTCAAGGTGAGTCAGAAAGTAGGAGCTCCTTGTTCCCAGCACCAGGGAGTCTAGAGATAGATAGACATCGGTAGATATCTATACATCTCATTTCCAGGAGGTGGAAAAGGTCAACTCCTTTCCTCAGTGCTTTGTCTGCACGTCCACAGAGCTCAGAAAACCAAAAGCAAACTGGGGAGAGCTGTGGGGCCAAAACGCGTGCATATAAAGGAGAGATAGGAGAGGCTGATGGACAAGACAAATGGAGAAGGGGAAGAAAGAGAGAGAAGAAACCATAAGCCGAGGGTAAGATCAGCACGAAGCCTGTGTTTGAATCCCGCCGGCCTGTGTCCCAGCTGCTCGCGAATACAAATCAGGACCCAAAAAGAGGGAAAGAAAGAACCAAATCAGACAATTAGGAAGGGAAGGCTCCTGGCAGGGCTCGTCCTGGAGACCCGGGGCTGGTTTTGTTTACGAGCGAGAGGAAGTGGGAACCGCTCCTGTTTGCTCTTCTACAGAAAGAGAAAGCGCCAGTGTTTTAATTTCTCCCTTGAAAGCCCCAGAGGGTTTTGCCTTCAGTGAATCAGGAGGGCTCAGATCTGGAGAGCTACCCTCTGCCTTTTGTCAGAGGAGATTTTGGTTGGTTTTCTCCCTCCCTCCTCCTCCCCCCCAGTCCCTCCATGTGAAAGAGGAAACGGAGCACAAAGCGGGTATTTTTGTACATGGAAAATAGCAAGAGAGCAAGCACCACGAACCGAAGGACACGGGCCCTCGCCCGCTGCTTGCAGGGCATCCCTGCCGGGGAGGAAGAAATGCCTCCGGTGAAACCACCTTTGCAACAGAAAGCCACGCGAGACAGCCTATGTCAAGACCAGATAAAAAGGCACGGGCATGCTGGCGTTGAGCTCGGGCTGCCTGCAGCCCAGAGGCACCACGACTAGCCAGCGTGGAGGCCCCGTTCGGTCACACGCAGAGGAACCAAGTCAGTTGAACCAGTGCAAAATCCCCGTCCGGTTGCAGCTATTCTGATGTCACGGTGGCTTCGCTGCACTCGGTAGAAACCAGCTTCTGATTCAAACCAAAACACGGCTGGTTTCAACCCAGAGCAGCCTGTCCAAGCGGGTTAAAAACCCAACCACCCCTAACGCAGTCCGGCTAAGCACAGTGCAACGGCAGACAGGCCGAGAGCACGGGGTGGTTTTAACCGAATAGGAAAGGGGAGAAAAAAAAGAGAGGAATGGAGGGGAAAAAAAAAACAAAAACCACACACCAAAAAAATAAATAAATAAATAAATAAATATCGAGGTGTCTTGTCCAAGGGGTCACTGCTAGAGCCAGGAATACAACCTGAGCTCGGTTTGCTTTGCAGGACGGGATGCTTTGATAGGTGTGCAACACACGTGGGCGAACGGGCTTTGTGGACCCGTCACGAGAGGTCGGCTGCCCAAACGCTTCAAGTATCTCTTGCATCTCTGCCTGGGAGAAGACCCAGAGAACTGGAGAACCGCTCCTCGGCGGCAGAAGGAGCCTGTGGCCTGCTGCAAAAAGAAGAAACCCGTCTGAAGCCAACATCCACCCATTTCGTTCCCGCTCCCCGGGGCGGACGGGTATGGGAAGGGAATGCAAATGCCATGGAAACCTGGAATTTGCAGACGTCATGTCCAAATGCAACCGGCGGCAAAGAGCACCCGGGCAGGCTGAACAGTGCAGCCTTTCACCAGGCGAGCGCTTCCCCGAGCTCGCCCTCCGCCGTGCAAACCTGGATTAACTCAATGGCGTGACTCCAAATTCCTGGAGGAGTCTGGCCCTTTTCGTGTGTGCCCAACAGGCAGGGTTTGAAGGGACCGTCCCGAGCATCCCGGAGCGTGAGGGTCCGGTCACACCAACACGTGTTTTTGGAAGAAGCCAAAAACTCGTTAAAAAATGCTGCATCTTAAAACAATTAAGCAGGCAGGCTGTTGGGAGAGTGGCTTTCCTAAATGCAGCAAAGGGACATTCCCAGATGAGGGGGATTGCAGTAGAAACGGAGCCTTTTTGGCAGCTCACGAGTTCTCTACGGAGCATGGCCTCTGTTGCAAGCTGCTTTTCTGCAGCGAGGCGGAGCAGTGCTTGAGCTCCCGGGATATTATTTTTCAGAGGGATGGATGGAAGCAGGCAAAGCCAGAGAGGCACTGAATATCTGGGGGACTGTCTCAAAAGGGCCTGGGATAGGGAGCTGCAGGTGGCTACTCGCTCGCCTCTACGCAGAAAGGTGCGGGCCTGCCAGGCGAGGGTGGGGAGATGGCGAGGCTTGGATTTGGCAGGCGAGGTGGTGGGGAAAGCCAGGGAGATTTGCAAGCAGATGCTTTTGAGGTGTTTAACATGCCCCATGTCACAACGTGCCACCGAGACGAGATCTGGACACTGCCCATGCATCTACTTTACACACTCAATGCAGCAAGATGTGGGAGATTTTGCTAAATGCAAGGTCGCCAGGTGTCGTTTGGCAATCCTAGCAAGCCCTCCCTGCTCCCAGGACCACAGCATGGGGAAGACCAATTCCTCCATGCATGGCACGACACAGCAGAGCTGCACTACCCTTCCTGGCAATGCCGGGATACCAGCCAAGTCCTGCCCATCCCAAAAAGCCCATTGCTCCTACAGGAACATTACTTTGCATGGATCGAAGTCGCTTTGAACAGGGAGGTGAGAGAGAAGAGAAAGCTGAAGCCTTCCCCTTGTCACAGCTCCCAAACCGTCCCCTGTTTTGCATTTAAAAACCAGTGCCACTTTGCCTGCTTTTAAAACAGGCCAAATTTCCCCGTGCGTTCAAGGAAATCCTATCTGATCAGCAATGCATTCAGGGCACGGGGAGGGGGTGGAAGCGATAGTCATCCAGACCATATGCACATCCACACACATGAGCAAGGGAGAAGCAAAATCAAAAGCCATTCAAGAGGAGAGGAACCAGGAGGAACTCGAGGCTACATTTTGGAAGATGCTGCTGGTCGGCGCTCACGGGGACCGAGCCGACTGGCAACACGGGACGGTGCCCCAGATGACGCCGCATCACACAGACTGGCAGGCACCAAGCAGCCCTCAGTGCTCAGGACACCTGATTTGGGGTTTTTCAGGGCAGCCTGAACACGGGACAGCGAGCAGGCATGGAGCAACATTGCCATCAAGCGGCTGTCCTGTGGAAATCCTGCATGCTGAGCTGGTTTGGAAGGGGCAGGAATTAGGGACACGAAGGGGACCCCCGGGGACATCACAAGCACAGGCATCGCCTCTCACCGTCCCCTTCATCAACGTACCAGAGCTCTGATTTCATTTCTTAATGGTGAACATCAGGGCAAAGCTTTCTGTCCCCCACCCACCGATCATGCTCGCCAGGCTCAAAATATACAGAGAACGATCTTAAAATAATCCATCTAGAGAGCATGCGTGTGCATGCGTATACACGTGTGCAGCCCACACGGACTTCAGAGCATCATGCTGCCGGCTGGTACTTTGAGGTGAGTTCATGAATATTAAGACGTGTCAGATCTAATTTTACCTTTTTTAATCCATTAGTGAACATAACTAACTTTGGGCATTAAAATGCTGTTTGCTTCCCACGAATGGGAGGGGAAAAAAACGCCAA